AGTATATGTCAAAGGTACCATACGCAAATGCTGTTGGTAGCTTGATGTATGCAATGGTTTGCACAAGGCCTGACATTTCACAAGCTGTTGGAGTTATTAGCAGATATATGCACAATCCAGGGAAGGAGCATTGGCAAGCTGTGAAGTGGATTCTACGGTATATTCATAATACTGTAGATGTCGGGTTAGTTTTTGAGCAGGAAGACAATCAGTTTGTAGTTGGATATTGTGACTCAGATTTTACGGGTGATATGGACAAACGAAGATCAACTACTGGTTATGTGTTTACTTTTGCAAAGGCACCAGTTAGTTGGAAGTCTACTTTGCAGTCAACAGTTGCTTTGTCTACAACAGAGGCAGAGTACATGGCTATTACAGATGCTGTGAAAGAGGCAATTTGGCTTCAAGGATTGCTAAAGGAGCTTGGTGTTGAACAAAAAGGTATCACAATTTTTTGTGATAGTCAAAGTGCTATTCAATTAGCGAAGAACCAAGTTTATCATGCAAGGACGAAGCACATTGATGTTCGGTATCATTTCGTACGAGAAATCATAGAAGAAGGTGGAGTCACGGTGAAGAAAATTCATACTACAGAGAATCCTGCTGATATGCTGACAAAGGTGGTGACTGCGGTCAAGTTTCAACATTGTTTGGATTTGATCAACATTGTTGAACACTGAAGATTGAAGATGAAGACACAACCAAAATTTGTTATTGAGAGAGAATTGAAAATGTGGAATTTTGCCAAGGTGGAGATTTGTTGAAGTTTGGCAAAATGCCAAAGTCCCACATTGGTTGGGAGTTAAGTTTGGGGGGGATTTTTCCCCTATAAAAGAAGGCCTAATGTTTAGGATTGAAACACACCTCTCATTTGCCTTCTCATCTGTTTAAGGCATTTGTATCTTCTCTCTTTAGTATTATTTCACTTGTATTTTTGGAGTGAAATAAAATATTGGTTGTGTCCGAGGAGTAGGCAAAATTAGCCGAACCTCGTAAATTCTGGTGTTCCCTTTATTGTTGCTTTATTATCTTATTTATTATTTGGTGGCTGTCATAATTTTTGGTATAGTAGTTGTGACTTATTCACACTATATACATTTGGCTTCCGCAACAGGTCTTTCGGAAATAGTCTCTCTACTCCTTCGGGGTAGGGGTAAGGTCTGCGTACACACTACCCTCCCCAAATCCCACTTGTAGGATTCTACTGGGTTGTTGCTATATACATAATTTCTCTAAGAAGTTATATCAAATATATGTAATGAATAATTGAATGTGTAGTATTATTTTCATAATGATTTAAGTGAATAGAATGAGTGTAACGGTTAATGAAGAGAGAGAAATGTAATGAAAAATAAGAGAATATAAGTGAATCCCTAATTTAAAATAGGAGAGAGAGAGGACAAATATCCCATAATTGGTGCATTTTGGCTGCTCATTAATTATGTGCATAAGCTCTATCTGCCATTAGTGTAAAAGAATTTGCCATTTATGAAATAAATAAAGAGTAGTAGTATTTTCTTAAATATTTTTTGAAAAGTGCTCACCTGTGTATTTGACCGCATTTTGAAATGCATTGAAAATGTAGCCACCGATCTGACTAAATTAATATTTTTACCTTCAACTAAAATACAATACACAACTTCAGCAATTGATATTAAAGTTCGAAGCCCCAGGAATAATTCCTGATCTTTTAGCCTTTGCTAGTGTAATATCCAGGAATGATTCCTGGAGTTCAAAATAAGATATTTGAAACAATGTGAAAGGATTCAAACCCCAGTATTCGTTACTAGGGTTTGAACCTATAAATGTTTGAACAAACCCCAGTAATCGTTATTGGGATTTGAACCTACTTTGTTTGAACCTCATTAATTGTTGATGGCGTTTGTACTTAAAGGGAATTAGTACCTCTTTTGAACTCAAGATTAATATGCTGGAGTTTTAACTTGTACAAGTTAGAACTCCATAATTGTATCATGGAGTCCAAAATAAGATATTATTGTTGGTTTGAACCTATAAACGTTTCGACTCCAGTATATTATGCTCAATTTCACTTGTAGAATGTTTAAAATTCAGTAGCGATATTCAGTATGTTAAAGGTACTTTTGTCCAAAATATACCCGTATCCAAATGGAATAGCTAAAATTTAATAACTTTTTAAATCGTGGCTAAATGCTAATAGCTTAGGTAAAAAGTGGCTAATTACTAATATTACACAAGTTAGAACTTTTATTTAGAAATAAAAAGGCAAAGAAATAAAGATCCTCTCATTGATAATGTGGAGGGAGGCATCAGATACCTACAAAGGCATCAACTTGAAAGAGAACAATATAATCCTACTAGGATTCACGAAGAAGAAGTTCACATTTTGGCAAAATTTTGGGTTGCCAATAAATGAAGAAAAGAATCAAAGTAAAGGAGGAGGAAAAGGTGGAAAAAAGAGAAGAAATCAAAGGCCTTAGAGAAAAGGGAATAGTTGTATGGACATTTGGAGATGAGGTGGTTACATCAAATGAAGATGACATTATTTTATTATCTTTAGTTTCTCCCTCATTTCTTGTGTGTTTAAGGGTGAGTGGCTCAAGATGTTGCAAATGAAGAAAGAAAACTCCAATTGGATATTTGGAAGAATATCCAAAATAGTTAAAGACTCTTATCACAAATGTATTTGTAGCCATTCAATTCTTTCTATCCTCTTACTTTCTTTCACGCGCATATCTAACTTCTTTGGGCACGTAGCTACAACTACACATGCAACTTGCTTTTCTTTTAAATTTGAATGTAAAAGATATATATGTGTTCTGTTTAGATAAAAGATACTACTAATTTGTATTTGATCTCTTGGTGTTTCCTAACTATGCTTTTAGTTGGGGCCTGGGGGGTAATGGAAGAATCGAAATGAAAATGGAGGGATAGAATGTCATTTTCCTCATCTCGTGAGAAAGTAGACAAGAATATGAAAAGTAGGACTGGATACTCATAGAAACCAGAAAAGAAGAGAAAAGCCTAACTTTTTCACTTCCATTCCAGCTAAACATACTGTTCTCAACATCTTGAATAACCCCCC